GTCTAACTGCTATTGCTATTATAAGGGCTCCCACTGATTCATTGCTGCAACTGTCAGGGAAATTTATCCTTAATTTTAGGATGTTTTTCTCTCTCCTTAGTTAGTTTCCATCCATTGCTTCTCCTCCCGCCTTCAGGGGCTCTGGAGAATAAGTTGACACCTGCCCCCACGTCCTCTTCTTTGGGGCAGCCCCTCAAATATTGTCCCTTGTCTGAAATGGTGTAGGTTCTCCTACTTGAGTAGGGGGGCAGACTAGAAGACCTCCACGGTCCCTTCCAGCTCTATTCTATTCTGTTCTCTTCTATTCTACTCCATATTCTGTTCTGTTCTACTCTGCTCTCTGTTCTGTTCTACTCTACATGCTGTTCTGTTCTGTTCTACCCTACATTCCATTCTGTTCTGTTCTGTTCTACTCTACTCTACTTTACTTTACTCTACTCTATGTTCTGTTCTGTGCTGTTCTACTCTACTCTATATTCTATTCTGTTCTGTTCTACTCTACTTTACTCTATGTTCTGTTCTACTCTACTCTACTCTACATTCTGTTCTGTTCTACTCTACTTTACTCTACTCTATGTTCTGTTCTGTGCTGTTCTACTCTACTCTATATTCTATTCTGTTCTGTTCTACTCTACTTTACTCTATGTTCTGTTCTACTCTACTCTACTCTACATTCTGTTCTGTTCTACTCTACTTTACTCTACTCTATGTTCTGTTCTGTTCTACTCTACATTCTATTCTGTTCTGTTCTACTCTACTTTACTCTACTCTACTCTACTCTACGTTCTGTTCTACTCTACTCTACATTCTATTCTGTTCTACTCTACTTTACTCTATGTTCTGTTCTGTTCTACTCTACATTCTATTCTGTTCTACTCTACTCTACTTTACTCTACTCTACTCTATGTTCTGTTCTACTCTACTCTACTTTATGTTCTGTTCTGTTCTACTCTACTCTACTTTACTCTACTCTATGTTCTGTTCTGTTCTACTCTACTCTATATTCTGTTCTGTTCTACTCTATGCTATATTCTATTGTATTGTATTGTATTGTATTCTTCTTATTCTATTCTCTATTTTTTATTTTCTATTGTGTAATCTATTTTCTATTCTATTTCTTATTCTAGTCTAGTCTACATTCTGTTCTATTTTTTTCTATGTTCTATTCTGTATTCTGTTTTCTATTCTCTATTTTGTATTCTTCTCTTCTCTCCTGCTTTCTGTTCTACTTTCTATTCTCCGTTTTGTATTCCCTTCTCCTCTACATTTTTTTCTGCATTCCATTCTGTTCAACTTCACACACACATGTCTTTTTGAGTGCAATTAAGGAAGGGCCTTTAAGGGAGGAGATATCTTGTCAACTCTGCTTAATCCTTCAGCAAGGCGGATGGTTTCGGGAATACTCACCAGAGGGCTACTGAAAGCCAGTTGTCTCCAGCCACCCAAGCCGAAACTGCTGGAACTGTGAAAAACCCGGGAGTTCAACAATTCGTTGGATTTCCGGCTGAAGAACCTCGCCCTGGCCGAGTGCCGCAGCGAAGAATACGACGCGAAGTAGGCGGCCTCGTCATCCTCTTCCTCGTAATCTTGGTACATTTCTAGTCTCTTGGCTAATCGCGGAGGAAACACAGCCCGTCCCCACCCACCCACCCAAAAGAAAAACAGCTTCGTTAGGGAGAGTCCTCGACTTACGGCTACATTTGATCTGTCGCTAAGCGAACCGCTAAGCGGTTCGGTGAATTTTGATCCCGTTTTAGCGACCCTTCCTCGCCGCGGTTTTAAGCGAATCGCGGCAGTTGTGGAGTTAATAACATGGTTGTTGTTTTTTTAAAGTTTTTTATTTACTTTTGTTACATAATAAAAATTATTTTGTGAACCGAGTGTTGTCCGAATTCCCCCTTTTTCCCTGTTTTTTTTTTTTTTATCACGTGACCCGCCGGTGTGAATATGGATCCTTTTTTTCAGTGCTGTTGAAGCTTCGAACGGTTGCTAAATGAACTGCCGTAGGCCGAGGACTGCCTGTATTTTTTTAACCAAAAGGAGCCCGTCATGGACGCGCCTCAGTCTTACCGTTTTCCTCGTGGCCGTATTCCAATCCCGCAATGCTGCATCTCCGAAAGACCATTTTGTTCTCGGTGAGGGTACCGGTTTTATCCGAGAAAATATACTCGATCTGACCCAGATCTTCCGCGATATTCAGCGATCCGCACTGGATCTTTCGGTCGGACGCTTCGTCGTATAAATCGATATCGTTTCGGATTAAATAGATGTGCCCCAGTTTGACGAATTCAATGGAGACGTAAAGAGAAATCGGGATTAAGACCTGTGAGGAGAAAAAAAAAAAAAAGGCCAGATTTGTGAGGTAAAAAGAAACAAAGGAGAGATTAAATATGGCTTCCTCACACGGCCAGGCAGTCCTCGACTTATGACCATTCATTTAGTGACCGTTTGGAGTCACGGCGACGCTTTTCAAAAGTGACTCAGGACCATTTCTCACACTTAACGACCGTTGCAGCTTCCAAGTTCGTCCCGTGATCAAAATTCGGACGCTCGGCCAGTGACTCGTAGTTATGACAGCCGCAACGTCCCAGCCTGTGGTGTGTGTGTGTGAGACGCGATCAACTTTTGTGACTTTCCGACAAGGGGGTATCCAGATTCCCTTAAGAACCGCGTGACTAACTTAACAACTCGCTTAACAACGGGGGCAAAGGAAGGTCGTAAAACAGGGATCAAAATTCACTGAGCGCACCTTTCTCTTAGCCACAGAAATGTGGGGCTGAGTGGCGGTCGTAAATCGAGGACTAGGCTGCCCGAGGAAAAGGATCACAGGGCCGTAAATCAAAAAAGTTAGAAGGAAGAAGCTATAAAATTACCTGCAATAAGATTATCATTGTCCAAAACATTAGAAAACCTCCCAATTCTGGTGCTAATTCTTTCCCGCTGGTGTAGAGGGGTGCCGGATTGGCTCTTAGCCAACGCCTGTGCCCTTTCGCGAAAGGAAAGAAATAAAGAAAAAATAAAATAAAGTATTCATTATACTTTGGGATATATGAAGGCTACAAACATTGGACTTTCTCTTCCAAGTCCCTTTCTTTGGGAAATGAAATGGAAAAAGGAAGGAAGGACGTAAATCAAAGTATTCGTCATACTAATGAAAGTTATGGTCTTAAGTTAAATTAATTGATATTAAAATCTGTGTCATATCGTTACTTGGTATACTGCATGCTCTCTTTCTTTCTTTCCTTCTTTCTTTTCTTTCTTTTTCTTTCCTTCCTTTCTCTCTCTCCCTCTTTATTTCTTTCCTTTCTTTTTCTTCTCTCTCTTTCTCTCTCTCTGTCTCACGCACAAACACACTCTTTATGTCTTTCCTTCCTTACTTCCCTTTCTTTTTCTTTCCTTTCTCTCTCCTTCCATCTCACTCACTCATTCTTTTTTCTTTCTTTTTTTCTTTTCTCCCTTTCTCTCTCTCTCTCTCACACACACAAACACACTTTATTTCTTTCCTTTCTTTTTCTTCTCTCTCTTTCTTTCTCTCTCTCTCACACGCACAAACACACTCTTTCTGTCTTTCCTTCCTTTCCCTTCTTTTTCTTTCCTTTCTCTCTCCTTCCCTCTCACTCACTCACTCTTTCTTTTTTCTTTCTTTTTTCTTTCCTCCCTTTCTCTCTCTCTCTCACACACACAAACACACTTTCTTTCTTTCCTTTTTTCTTTCCTCTCTCCCTTCCTCTCTTTCTTTCTTTCTCTTTCCTCTGTCTCTCTTTCTCCCTCTTTCTCCCCCACTCTCTCTCTCTTTCTTTCCTCTCTCTCTCTCTCTCTCACACACACAAACACACTTTATTTCTTTCCTTTCTTTTTCTTCTCTCTCTTTCTTTCTCTCTCTCTCACACGCACAAACACACTCTTTCTGTCTTTCCTTCCTTTCCCTTCTTTTTCTTTCCTTTCTCTCTCCTTCCCTCTCACTCACTCACTCTTTCTTTTTTCTTTTTTCTTTCCTCCCTTTCTCTCTCTCTCTCACACACACAAACACACTTTCTTTCTTTCCTTTTTTCTTTCCTCTCTCCCTTCCTCTCTTTCTTTCTTTCTCTTTCCTCTGTCTCTCTTTCTCCCTCTTTCTCCCCCACTCTCTCTCTCTTTCTTTCCTCTCTCTCTCTCTCTCTCACACACATACACTTTTTTCTTTACTCTCTCTTCCCCTCTCTTTCTTTCTCTTTCTTTCCTCTCCCTCCCTCTCCCTCCCTCACTCTCTTTCTTTCCTGTCTCTCCTTTCTTTCTTTCTTTCCTTTCTTTTTTCTTTTTTCCCTTCCTCTCTTTCTTTCTTTCTCTTTCCTCTGTCTCTCTTTCTCCCTCTTTCTCCCCA